CATGTATTTGTTACTTTATAGATTTAATAGATATTTGTTGTTACTTCATTAAAGTTTTTCTGCTTATACTGCAAGATAAAAACGGCTGCTTCTATGATTTTGTCTGGTTTATGAGCTCGTTGCTGTCCTAATTTAGGATCTTCTCTTTAATAAATTCTTGAAAATGTTAAAAAAAGAGAGAGAGAGAAAGGGGGCCTGGCGAGGATGTTTGCCCCGGGGGCCGTGCTGGCTCTCGACATTCCTGGAAGGAGTACTAAGTTCATCCAAGAATTAAACACTAATACCTACCCTTTACTTGGGCCTGTTTTCTTGATTTTTAATTACAAGAAAAAGATTATATATTTACTTAAGATAATGTTTTGAAAACTTCCTAAAAAGAAACTTTTTGTTCTGCATAACTTATTACTAAAAATTCTAGGAAACTTGCTAAGAACATATCCAGTTTTGTAGAAGATGGAAGCCGAGTTTCATACCTAAAAGACAATTAAATACCCAACAAAAATGCAATTCTATCTACCTACTGATACTGTTTAGATTCTATAGTCAGATTAACTTACCACTTTATCTTCAAGGGGTTCTGATTTAACAACTGGAGTTGAAGATTCAATAGATAAGTTGGTATTATCAGAAGACTCGTCTTTTGTTGATTCGTGTTTAACAGGTGCATCTTCAGCTTCAGCCATATCGCTGGCAGATGAGATGGCAGCACTAGCAAGTGTTGCAAGAGGATCTTAAGAAAAGATCATTGTTTGGGTTTAACACAGTAATAAAATCAATTCTATTACATTATAGTAAATATTCAACAATCCAACAGTGGCTGACATAGTAATATATAATCAGGTTATTAACATTAACTATATTATAAATGCTTTAACTCCTAATTTCTTCATTGGACATATAGTTAATTTTCAATGATCAAATATAAGTGCAAAGATGTTGAGGCAAATGGTCCAGAAAGTCATCTGTATGTACAACATTATAAGTTTATGATAAGACACCACTTGTCACTACAGTCATGAGCATAACTAGTTTTTTAGTCTCTACACAGCCTTAAAATCTTTAACTCAGTAAGACACAAGAACATTTTATTCCTCAGCTCAAGCCAGACTTAATGTATATAAACTGTTGTTCCCATTATCATTGGATATATATGTATTCCCTTTATTGCCTGAACTTTACATAAATTACAAGTTTAACAACAAGTAAAAGCCTGGAATGGTATATTCTTTCATTGGGGGTGTGTCTGTGAGCCAGACTAGTTTCACTGATGAGGAGTGTTTTTTGGTGTTTGGATATTATTTCTGAATTTCTCCTGTACATGATGTTAATTTCTTAAATATCATATTGATGTGCTTTCCTCTTCAGAAAATATTAAGTGATATTTAGTATGTAATACTTTTATATTAAAAGTGACCAATGAGAACTGGAAATCAAAAAACATTTTAGGAATATAAACAGATAACCGTTAATCACATAAAAAAATTAACATGCTTACTCGTGGTTCACATGGGGTAATGAGAAAAATTTCAGGACTTCTAAATGACCACTGAGTGTCAATAAACAAAGCACAAATAAATTATTTTCATCATTTACAGTTCTCCATGTGTACTTCAATTTTTTCCAACTTCAGTTTAATGAAGTTTAATTATTCTCCCAAGTATTTTGCTTTGGCTGAAGCTAAAAACAGCTCTATCATGTAACCAAAATAAATAATATTTATTGAAGATTTCAACTTGCCAATAGGACAAGCCAACTTGAACCTAACTGGCTGTTGAAAATACATCACCATGGCAACAAAGCAAAGATTCATACTCATCTTGTTACTGAGACCACTCTCAGATTGTTGTTCACATTACTGATTAATGTTGTCAAGTTAGTGTACTTCCCATTCTACTAGTAACATTTTCTAGAAATTGTTTTCACAAGAATGAGACAAACCCAATAAAAACAGAGGATGTGGGATCAACGAGGGTAGACTTTCAAGTAGTTTTACAGGCCCTCTTGATAAACACCATGGATTTTCCAGGATTTCTAGCACTGAAATTCTTCTTATAAAATTTCAGAATTTTCATGACATTAGAATAAAAGCTAATTGAGTAATAATTATGAGTTGGTGCATGTTATTACTTGGCAAGATTATAATGACCTTCTAGTTGTCAAGCAGCCATATGTGTACATCAAAATTCATAAGAAATAATATTTTACACCATCTTTATGCATTAATGATTAAATAATCACAAAAATGCAAACATTAAGCCTAATTTACAGCTCAAAATATTGTAATTAGTACATGAATATATGTTATATATTCTAATTAGTATATGAACATTTGTTATCAATCTTCTTCCATTTTAAGAGACATGCCCTATACAACTCTAAGCATAAAACTAGTACTCATTTCATGCTTACAGCTGCAAGCTAAATTATACATTATTTTTCCTTTTAAATTTTAAAAAAGCTAAACATGTTGGCTGAAACTTAAGTGTAATTTCAAAGGAACGACTTTACTCACTTAAGTTTTATATTTATGTCTCTGCAGAGAGAAATACTGTTTTTCTATACTTTCTTCTTCTTCAAAACACTTCATTTCCTGGCAGATTGACTTGAAACTTAGTAGTGTTATACCTTGGTCGAATATGCCCAGTTATCATTTTGGTTTTTTTTTATAATTTTTAACAATTATGGGGGAAGGGGAGAAGATGCTACAAAAAGCATAGATTTAAGGGTTTTTTTTTGCTATTACTCCACCATATTTTGCCCAATTTACATGGGATTTGGTACAGATATACTTTTTCACAAGCCCCACACATAATACAAAAATGTGGGATATGCCCATTTTTTGGTCATTTTAAGGGGGACCAAAAGGTTAAATAAATCTTAGGGGTTTTGGTCAATTACTTTGCCATATTTTGATCAACTTGCGTGGGATTGAGCACAAAAATATTCTTCGCAGACATAAAAACAATTTTGGAATTTTTGCCTTTTGCTAAATTTTTCAGCAAGGAAAGCACAAGTTGGGGTTTTCATGAACTATTCATGTGTATGTCAACCAACTTACATGGGATTTTATACAGACATACCTTCATGTAGGTCCCACACAGTGATATAGACAGTTTTTCATTTTTCTCATTTTCACAATTTTTCTGGAGTCTAAGTTGGCCATGTTGGAATTGCATGGTAGAGACATGTTGCATTCTCTCACAAATTTTGGCCTCTCTAAACTTCTAATACATTTTTGTCACCAATTTTGTTCCAATAGTTAAGACATATCTCTATTTTACTTTTCTGGGTGCTACTTTTTAGCAGTTCTGCTTCCAGTACTTAACTTCAGTTATATTTTCTTTTTTCAATTTATTTTTACATTTTTATAAGAATATCCAACTAAAAGATGCAAATCCAGACACACTAAAAATACTTAACTTGGGGGAAAAAGCCTTGTCGGCACTCAATATAATAGATGTAGTGTAGTTGACATATCATAACGTTCATACATAAATTCTAAGAATAACTTAAAATGTAGCATAACACCATTGTTGAAAGGCCACTGATAATATCTTGTTTTTCTTCTCTGAGATAGTTTAACATTAATCTGAAGTATGATTTTATTGTGTACTAGCCTATTCATCTATAAGCTTTATGCATGCCCAGCTGGAAACTGTTTTGAGTAATTTAGCTGCCAAATATGTAAGTCACTTAAAAAACAACAAGCAACACAAAGAACCGAAATTACACAGTTGTATATAACTTGAAAAGATTAGCAGAGCTGAATGTCACTACTGCAATATACTTTCAAAGATTTGAATTCAGAATGTTAAAGCTTCAACTTAGTCATTTATCATTAGCTCATTACTAACCAGAGGCATCCATAACTGCTGGTTCTGAGGTTTTCTCTTCAGTTAAACACATGGATATGGTAGATGAACTAACTGTTGAAGATTTACCAGACACATTGGCTACTTTAGTGTGCAAGGCCATAGCAGATGACACTGTATTGTTATCTGTTGAGGCTGATGCTATGTTGGATATAGATGAGGTACCACTATCAGCAGACAAATGTGGGGTACACAACACTGGAGTAGAGGTTACTTCAGACTGTGTAACAGTTGTTGTAGTTGAGGCTACAGGGGTTGGTTGTAAAGAGAGAGTTACAGAAGTTGACTGTACACTTGCAATGTTTGAGATTTCTGAATGATCTTTGTATGAAGTTTGAGTTTTTGATAAAATTGCTTCTGAGGTGTCCATAGGCTGAGAGGATTCAGAAACAGAATTACCAGAACCTATAAAACAGAGACAGGGAGATTCCTCTAATTTATACTATATAGTTTTTATAGAAAATACACTGAACTTGAAAACAAATATTTTGTCCATGTCCAACATTTAAAAATTATATGTATCAAATGCACTTCTATGGAAGAACAAACAATGGTATAACACAATTATGGAGTTTCAATACACAATTCAAAAACAATGTACCATTTTACTATAATGATGATCCATTATATGTATGTGTGTGTGTGTGTGTGTGTGTGTGTGTTAACATCAATCACCCAGAGTCAGCTGGCTCAATCCCCATAATCTTTTTCAATGGCAACTGGAAACTGTCTGACAATGTACACAGGTTACTTTGGTGTAGGATTATTGCCCAAGAAGTGTGTGTGATTGGTAAAAAAAAAACAAGAAAAAGGGCACATTTCCATTTCTTTTATAGACTTTTGACTTTGAATTTAAGACACAATTACTTAAGCAGCTAAGTTAGCCAATTACTACCTTCCACAAAGCAGGGTATGCAATTAGCATCGATTGAAATCATTAAGTATTTAGTAAAAAGAAAAAGAAAGAAGGAAAGGGAACATTATCCTTTATGCAATTTTTTGCTTCCTTAGTGGGTACCATCAGCTAGTTATAATAAAAAACAATTGTAAGCTCCAAGCTTATAAACAGTTATGTACAAACTGTTTCAAGCATTGAAAAAACCCATTAAAAACCAGATTTTTCATTGAATTTGAAGACCAACAGTGTTTTATTTTTAACTTAAATGATACTCACTATCAAATTTCTTTATTATTATGACTATAAAGAGTAATAACAGTGAAATATGAAGAATATCTGGTCTACATTTCTTTAAGTAATATCTTATTTTGACCCACAGAAGCACTTAAATAAATCCTAAGTGCCAGATGAGATTATGAAAACTTGGGATCAGAGCCTTCAGTAATTTAAAAAAAGCTATTAGACATTAGAAATGATTTTAAATCCAGTATTCAAGAAACCTTTACCCATACAATGCTATTAATTTTCATGTGTAAAATTCAACAGTTTTATTGTATCAAAAGTACTAATAACATTCTGTGCCTTCTTTCACTAATGAGACTTGTAATAACAGTGAGAATTCATGTCATTAGTCATGCCTTGTCTTCCTTTCTACAATAATAATTTCGGGAAAAAAGCCTTATAATTTATCTCAAGAAGACTATAAAGCTCTTATCAACCTTTGAAAATTAACACACTGTAATACTAAACAAAATTAATTATATCAGAAAGGTTAACCAAGTGCTAATGAATAGCATAACATCCTGAAATTCAACAAAAACCAAACTTATAAAAAGACTTCTTACAGTTATAGGAAGACAAAATATACATATATCAAAAAAGTGCTTACTAAGCAATTAAACTGGTTGGCTTGGAATAATGTAAGGTTTGCACAAAACTTTCAAACCATACTGTCTTGCAAAACCAACAGTTTTGAATGCTAGCATTTCTAATCATTGACAGTTGTGTGTCTATAATTAGGGTTTCATGCTCATTGTGACACTTCTGTTTCTACAGCATTCAAATTCAACACAGTGCTTTTTCTTGACAGTCATGTTTACAGGATCATGAAATAACTTTTTTTTTATGCAAATAACTTTCATTAAGAAATTTTTCTAAACTTAATGAATTGAACATGTTTTGATGACAGTAGATCATTGAAATGTTGAATAAACTGGCTACCAACTAAATTTCAAAAGTTTGACACTCCAAAGAAATGTATATAATAATGTGATAGTATATTGGTCTATAAGAAATGTCAAAAAGACTTTTGTTTCTATCCTATGCAGGGTTTATTTACAGACACAAGTAGGATTTTTTTTCAGTCTGCTGTAAGAATAAGTAATTTAATTTAATTTACCTTACAGATTTCATTCCTAAGAATATACAGTGATTCATGAACTACAAATTCTCATGCCCTTGCTGTGTTGGGGAAGATTTAGAATCCACCACTTCTAGACCACTGGTCAACCATTGCTAAACTTTGTGTAAGTTAGAGAAGCTGAAGATGGGTAGAATTAAGGATTTAAGAAAGTCTGTTGAATGCTAAACTGAAGCTGATTTTAAACCACAAGACTCTGCATTTCCCACTGTAAGCTTGATTCATTTCATTCAAGTAAAGAAAAATAGTCTAAAACATCTGTTATTTGAGCCAAGGAAGACTAGACATTAGATGCCTGATTATTTCAAGTCAAAATAAGAGGAAATCAATACCAGTAAAATGTGACTTTACAATTAACTTCCAAAAGAGGGTAAAATGATGATACCAATAAGCATACACAACCGTTCTATACTCTGTAATTTCCACAAAATAAGAACTTGAAAATCAAAATAACAATTTTCTCACATGATATAAAGTAGTTTCAACTGGCAAGATACATATTCCATGTTACTAAATGATAGAATGTTACAAGACTGATGATGTTTTCAAAGACAAAGTCCTAGCACACTCATTTCAGGTTTGTGGCTAAAAAACATGTACTATTGTATTTATAATCATCTTTTGTCTGTCATACCCAAATGATGAAGAAATAGCTCCTTTTAATCCTTTCTCAAGACCTTAAATAAATTGGCTGGATTATATACCAACAATATTCCATTCTTTTTTTTAGTTCACACACAAAATATCACTATGTAAAACAATATATTATGCAAGTAAATATAAATCTAACCTAAATTTTCTGCACTCGTTTGTGTAGTTGAGTCAACTTCCATCTCAGTTTCAGAGTTAGCTTGTGAGGTTGACAAAGAAACCTTAGCTTCTTGTGAGGAGATATTTGTTTCTGTTGAGCCCACAGTTGGTTCCTCTGGATCATCTGCACACATCTGGGCTGGTGGCATTGCTCCAGGACGTTCTAGGGTGAGTTGTGATTGTATACTACCCTGTGTTTCAGAATCTGTAACATTTTGAGCTGTAATAACCAAAAAAAGAACATCTCCTTTATCAAAAGACTGTTCTAGTACTCAAAAGTACTCTATACATTGTTCTCATTAAACCGTTAAGATATACTTCAAAATATACAGAAGCTTTTATGAACAATTCAAGTCTGCAAGTAAGAGATGCTGGTTAAAGAAAATGTCTATTTAACTGACAACTATTTCAGAGAAACTGAAATTTATCACAATACAAAATTATCTATGACAGTGATAAGTTCATGTTACATAAACAATTATTCAAAAGTAGGATTAAATCGATTAATGCCACAAAAATAATCATCTATTCAAAATTTGTGTTTCCGATTATTACCGTTTATTATTCCAACTGTCAAAGTAATAACTGCCAATATGACTTTTCATTATCATTTTGGATTAATTCTACATTGTTCAGCTTAATAAAGGTGTCACAACTTACAAAAATAATCAACTAATCAAAACTAGTGTTCCAATTACTACTATTATTGATTATTACAAGTATTATGTGAGATTAATCAATTAGTTAAATGTAACTATCCGGCTCTAGCACCAGCCGATGGAATGTCAGACAAAAAGCCTGTACATAAATGTTTTGGACAGGTTAAAAAGTTTAGTTAAAAGATATCTTAAACCTAACACCATGGGAGCACATGCTGTTTATTATGTGGTAGGTCAATATTTACACATGCTGAAAAAAGAATAAAGTATGTACTAACCATGAAATTAGTTGTAAAAAATAGCATATACAAATACTTGATACCCATCTGTTGCAATACAATCCGAAGTATAAATAAAGCACGCCATGTCTTTCCATATCTAATACATGCTTATATAATTACAAGTAAAAATAATGTATTAGTGATTCTCTAAAGTACAAACACATTTTTTTCTACTTCTTTCATAAAACTTAAAAAATAATCACTAAAATTGAGAATCTTCAATCATACTTCTTAATGATTACAAAAACCAAAGCATACATTCTTTTTGTCACTGTTGTTTATTCACTCTATGATATTCTCCTATTTTGAATGATATTAAAAAAGCAAAAAATTCCCATCAATAGTTCATAAATTATTTTAACATTAATCTCTATTGTCAATTTTTTTTTGTTATACCTACTGATAATAAATTACCATTTTTACTTTTACATTTTTACTATGATTTACAATTACTTTACTGTTTCCAATGTGGCAACATATAACTGATCATCTGTTAGGTCTGTGCAGTGTGTTCTATATCATTGTGACTATTTGAAAGTCTTAGGATAGGCAAACTGTATGCAACTCCCACTTCACCCAGCATCCACATTTAAGCCTTAAAGAACATTCTGGTTATCACTTAACAGTTAGTTCAAAAGATTAAATCAGAGCCTTCCTGTCATCATCAACTGGCCAAGCTCATTGTTTGCTAAACTGAAAAGATTAATAACCAAAATACAGATACATGTAGTAAATTCTATAGTCCACATTCCTTCTCCTATACAGAGTCAGTCCAATGGACCAAACCTGTGCACATTCAATTAATTAACACTTATTCACCAGCAATGAGCTAAGATGCCTTCTGTAATGATGCTAAGAATCAATGGAGCAAGTTGAAACACCCCAACAAAGTTGTCCTCTACTGTTATCACTTATAAGAATGGTAATCCTAATATACAGCCAGTAGTTGACCACAAACACATCTGACTGAACTAAACTCTTGAAACATACTTTTACAGATTTATATTTAAGCTGTAATATTTTCATTTTTTCCTTAATTGTACTTAAATTTCAAACAGTAATTCTTGAATATAAATTTCACTGTGTATATTTTTTCAAATAAATGCACACTGCACTATCTGGTACTTTACAGGCTTTCCTTTGTTAAATCCCCATAGTACATTGAACGAAAATAAAGAGTATGGATTTAACATTTTATCAAATGATGCACTTTTGAAGTAGAACACTCACTAAATTTTTTAGTCCACTGAACTACAATAGGGATTTAAATACATATTGGAAATGTATCAAAGCATAACTGTATGTTTTAAATTTGTAAAACCAAGACTTGCATATACCAGATGAATGTTGTCACATAGCATGCTTTATCAAAAGCAATACTGGCAAGAGCCGGCATAAGTTTTAATGGAGGCAACTTGAACCAGAACTTTTGGATCCTAGTTGGAAAGTATGTATTGTACACGTATTCAAGCCAAGAGCAATGCTACACTGCACAGTGATCATTGGAAGCCACCACCCCATGAATACATACTGGAATATTTTTGATAGAGCATTGTTTCAAAGTAGATTATCTTATAATTAATGTTAAAAACAGTTCATTTTTAGCTGCCAGAAGAAAAAAATAAAACCACAAAACACATTTTTCTGCTACATTTTTTTAACAATTTCTGGTAAAAGGAAAACTGTTGTAAAAGAAATATTTTACTACAGACCATTTCTCTAAATAAGATCATGCTAATGATGTTAGTGAAACCTTACTTTGTACATGGGATTTTCATCTTACAATTTTTTACTATCTTACACATTTGCATGAATTCAGGAAACAATGATCATCAATGTTTGCATTCAATTCTGAACACTTAACTGGTGAATATTGTACGTAGCATTTACTGACACTTTCTTTACAATGTTCTCAATAAATCTGATTTATGTATATTGTTTTTGCTGATAAAGTATTAATCCTTCAAACTGATTTAACCAGAAGAATAGACCAGATCAAGGTTTTTAACTCCTTTAATAATATTTTATGCTTACTAAATAAATAACTGAAAGAAAATTACTGACTGGCCTTTCAGCCCCTGCAAAATAGAATCCAGTAGCATAAAATGATATATTAACATAAAAATCTA